AGAATGGTAGAGTAGTTCTTGTTTTTCTCTGAGGTAATGCAGGGCTGGTAACCATCATCTTCTCACTGTCCATAGGTAGAGAAAATCCTCCTATACAATATATTTCTCAATTGGTTTAAGACAGCTAAAGTTTCTTTCTGTTGCTTATAGTTGCAAGTTCTTAATCCTTGTTTTCGGCTTCAGTTTGCCGCCTGTGGCCGGTGACCACGTGCAGGCGCATGCCTGGCAGCCACGCGCAGGCCCAACAGCCACACGCCAGCCCCGAGTGCGTGAATGTGTGCGGGACCCAGCGCCACCTCCTGTTCGCCCACGTGGCCAGTGGGCCAGAGATAGGAAGGACGGCGACCTCGGCTGGTCCGTGCCGCCGGCCCGCGTTGGCGGGACACACCTAGCGCCGGAGAGGCAGCGGGTGCCCGGTGGCCCGGGCTGCGGAACGCGGAGCAAAGCCCGCCGTGGCAGGCCCCTGTATATTGAACTGTTAAGAACACGCATGACCCCAGGGTCATGTTTTAACCCTAGCCCTGACCTGACCATAAATGTCTGAATTCATAAGTCTCACAAGCAGAGGGTCCATAAATCAGTGATACGTGGCATTCTGGGAGTCTGGATCTGGCTCAGCAACAAGGCATCACTTGTTCGTTGGTGGTGGAACTTGGTGTCAAAAATGGAACAGTCGAGTTTCAGAGAAGAGCCAAATCAGAAAGCCAGACAGCCCTGCTAAAGAAACTTTTATGAATATGAGAAACTAGTATAGAAATTAGAGAGACCAGTTCATAGCAAATACTAAAGAGGGAAAGTGATAGAAATGAGAAAGCCCCCCTTTTTTTTTATTCTGTCGTGTGTGAGGGAGAAAAAGACAGAACCTTCCTACCACATTGGACTGCTTTCAGAGCATTGCATCACCATCGTCTTCATCTCCAGCAGAGATTTCTTTAGCTTTTCAAAATGTGCTGTGTATATATGGTGCCTGCCCATAGAATAAAGCATCCTGTGTAGATAGTAAGCATGCATGTGGTTTCATATGTTATATATTTTAGAGTATTTACCTCACATCCTTTATGGAAATAATAAGTCACCATGCATTATTACAAATAAGTATGCAGCATTTGTTTTAGATACATGTGGTATAGGAGTTTTTGCGTTCTAAGTATGATCAGTTTGGGAAAGGGCTGGGAAGAGGTTATGTCAAGGTTTGTTTTTTGTTTTTTTTTTTAAGGTAGAAAGTGCATGCACATACATGGTGGAACTATGTGGGGAAGCACCCTGTCAAGGATTTGGTCAGGCCACGATCCCTTTCCTCCAGCCCATCAGGATCTTGGGCTGAGGAACTGAACCACAGTTGGCCATGTGGCTTCCAGCAGTGCAGCCAATTATGGAATAGGCTGCATGACCAGGCTGAGCCCCTCCCTGTATTTTAATGAATTTTTATATAATATGAAGTGAGCAACAGTATCCATGCTATAGCAAAGCTTCTAACCAGTTAAGAGGTTCATAGAACTGTTATTCTGTGTGTGATTAGCTATTTTCTTATAACATGTTGTTATATTCCTTTTAGGTTAGAATGGCTGAGGAGCATCCTGAGTTTGTGGTTGGTTTTATTTCTGGTTCCCGAGTAAGCATGAAACCAGAATTTCTTCACTTGACTCCAGGAGTTCAGTTAAGTGCAGGAGGTAAACCGATTGATTGATATGGCTTCCCAAAAATGTCTTTACCCACTTCAGGCAGTATAAAATTTGGCATGTTATAAAGTTGCTAAAGAGAAGCCTTCTTACTCTAGAACAATGATGAATGAGTTCTTTGGCTTGACAATACTGACCTAGATTTGCAGAGTAGCTCACAATCTTAATTTATGATAAAAATATAATTTTTTTTTTTACTTTCTGTTGAAATATATCCAGAAAACTGATATTTTAGGTTAGCGTTTCACAACTGGTGTCCTAAATAAGCTGCCAAATGAAGGAATTCTGAAGTCATAGAAGTTAAGAAAACATAAGGCTAAAACAAAATTAAATATTTGTTTCTTTGTTAGAGGACTTTTCAGAGCCTTTGACGTGCTATTATCTGTTGTGATCTGTGGCCCTGCCATGATTTGCAACTTACTGGAGCATGTAATGTGTGCAGCAGTCTGAGAAATGCAGTTGTGGATAAAAAGTTGTGAATTTTCTCATTGGTAATCTTTTATTAAAGAAAAGATGAATCTAGGTGTTATATATATTTACCTAAATGTCTCATGGGACTTAATAAAGCTGCTTCAGTTTTGAATGAGGAAGAAATGACCTGGAGACATTTTTCCTGAATTGGTTATTGTGCAAAAAAGACTATTCAACAGTTACTGGAGTTTGTCCTATCCCACTTCCATCTCACTCCTTCTTTATGGGTTAGATTGAAGAAGTGGGCGTTTCGAACTGTAAACATTAGAGGTCTCAGTTTGCAAAACTATTTAAAATGAAAGCAACTATGCTTCTCCCCCTCAGAGAAATGCGCTAGACTAACAGCTCTGACTTTTTGTTTTTACCATTGCAAAGTTCAAAAGCCACTTTTTAAAATATTAAGAAAAAAGTAGGTTTTGTGCTAGTCATTCTTATATAACTCATACCCTCCTCTCGCTCACCGCCTTTTCCCCAGTCCATCCTGCTCTGCAGATAACCACATGACTGTGTGATGTGCATCTTTCCAGATTTTGACTTTGCATGTACTCACATCTGCCTGCAAAGTTTGGAGAAAGTCTTGTATACCTGCTGCTATACATAGGTTCATGGAAAATGGAATTAAAGTACAATTTTATTTCGGTGTGAAAGAGTTCAAAATCCATGCACAATTTTTGTGTTTGTTTTATTTAATTTTATTATTTTATTTTTAATAATTATTTATTTTTATTTTATTTATTCATTCATTTATTATTATTTTTAGTTTGACCAGAGAGAGACAGAGGGTGAGACTGAGAGAGAGAGGAAGTGAGAAAGCAAGCCACCAGGTCTGGGACTCGAACCACAGTCAGCCATGTGGTAGTCTAGTGCCCTTAACCACCACCACTGCTGTCCCCTCGTTTTGTTTTGTTCTGTTTTGTTCTATTTTGTTTTAATATTTTTTAAATTGACCAGAGAGAGAAAGTGAGAATGCAAGCTGCCAGGACTGGGACTTGAACCCCATTTGGCCATATGGGAGTCCAGAGCCCTTAACCACCATGCCACCTGCTGGCTCCCAGTTTTTTTATAATACTACTTTCATTGAACTTTTTGAAGACCACTCTGTCTTCCTACACCTAGAGTTATCACATTCCTTTAACAGGTACACGGTGTTCCCTAGTTACACACAAGCGTAATGTGTATATTTAGATGGTTTACAAACAGGGAACCTCCTTGATATGTATTTGTACATGGCAAGTACTTCTGGAATACTCTCCTACTAGACCAGAAGCTCCTTGAGGACAGGTACTCTAAAGAACACATGTTCCCAGGCACTATACAGACGTCGAAGGCAGGGACAGGAAGTTCTATAGAGACAGCTAGAAGAGCTAGGGTTTCTGAGACTGGAAAGGTAGAGACTAATAATTGAGGTTTATGACATTCAGTAGGCTATGAGTTTGCTAAACTTTAGTTTTCTTCATAAACCCTGAAATACTAGGACTAGCGAGACCCATCCATCTTGAAGGAGTCAGTCATTTTATATAGATAATAAAACCACACTTAGGAAAAAGAAGAAACTATCTTATTTTTTCTTTAAATACTTTTAACTGCAAACATTACAGACAGTTGATCAGGAAGAAAACTAACAGGCTGAGAGTTCACGTAGATAATGAGTGGTAGATGGGTACAGGGATGAAGGATATTGGCAGTTTCCTCTGTTCCCAAATCCCACATTTCAGATTTATGCACCGTGGAGTAGGCCTCAGCAGAAGGACTTGCGTAGGGCTCTGCAGTCACTGCCTCAGTAGTCCACAGCTTTTGGCTTCTTTAAAACTCCATATTTGCACGAGACATTTGATGAGTTTAATGGGTTTGGGTTCCTGTCCCTTCCATTTGGTAACTCTGTACCTTTGGACAAGACACTTCCTTTAGTTTCATTTCTTTTTTTTTTTTTTTTCTTTGAGAGGTTTTCCACTATAGGCGCATGCGCTCGCCAGACAGACAGAGACATAGAGACAGAAAGCGAGAAATCACCCCCCAGGGGGGATGGTCATGCCGCAATCCCTTCTCCTCCATTCTCCTCTCGGGATCTTGGGCACGTACGCACACGCGCCCGGCGTGAGTTTTAAGCCACCGGGTCTGGGACGTGAACCGCAGTCGACTACGTGGGAGTCCAGCGACATAGCCATTATGCTAACTGCTGGTTCCCTAGTTTCATTTCTTGATCTGTAAAATGCGAATGATAATAGTATTGACCTCCGAGAACGCAGTGTTTTCGTACAGAGTAAGTACTCTGAACTTACCAATGGTGTTATTTTGAAGCCTCCACAATTCTTTGGCTAGATTGTACATTTAGGGTTTAGGCTTTTAGGGATATTTAAAGCATCTTGGATTTGAAAGATAATGAGACACTTAACAGAATGCTCCTAGAGCAACAGAATTTAATACAGAGCAAAACGAATGTTAAGGATTAGGATTTGTGCATAGTCTGTGTAACCTCTCGATGGCTTGTGGCCAGAAGGTTCATGTACTGTCGATGGTAGCGATCAGATTAGATGCCTTTCACAATGGCACTTAAGATCAGACATCACAGGGGCTGGCAGTGGCGTGGTGGTTGAGGGCACTGGACTCCCACATGGCTCACCACTGTTGGAGTCCCAGACCTGGCAGCTTGCTCTCTCTCTCTCTCTGGTCAAACTTATATAAATAAATAAAATCATTTTAAAAGAAAGATTAGACATTACAGAGGAGGTGGGGAGCATCTTTTCTGTTGTAGAAGTCTCTGACTCCTTCACTCTGTCTTGTGAGTGCATCTCTTCAGCTCCTTTTTACCCGAGTGCTTTGCAGAAGAGGTGTGAGAAGCTAGAATATGATTTTACTTAAAGCTGGTTATGTTCAGAGAAGTCACGTGACAGCATTGCATTTTACCACTGTGCCCATCAGGATCTTGGGCACGTGTGTGCATGCCTGGCACATTTCTGATAAACCAGACAGGGTCTATCAAACCAAACCAGTCAGCCAAATCAGTCAGTTTCTGATTTTAGAATCACATTAAATGGTAGCTTTTCTGTTTTTGCAGGTGACAGTCTTGGCCAGCAGTATAGCAGCCCAGAAGAAGTAGTTGGCAAGCGAGGTTCAGATATCATCATTGTCGGCCGGGGCATCCTCTCAGCTGCCAGTCGTCTGGAAGCAGCTGAGATGTACAGAAAAGCTGCTTGGGAAGCGTATTTGAGTAGACTCGGTGTTTAAGTGCCTCAGATACGTTTTTGTGAAGACACTGAAGATACGTGGTCTCCTAAAAGTCACTGGCTGGAAGTCATCAGCCTTTAACACTCCTTGGATTCTCCCTCAAGGCCTGTTTATTTTCAAGCTTACTTTTATTGAGACTGGTACTTGTTTGGTACGCACAGTCCTGTCTGTATTAGGGTCTTCCACGTTTGAAGATTCTCCCATTCCTAGATAGGACCAGACTTCTTTTACATTCTTTTGATTGCAGTGAGACAGAAATTCTAAGACAAGAGGCTAAAACCAGTTCTGCATTTCTCGTGTCCTTTATTTTCCATCTAATGCATTGCCCAAATGATGTCTAATTACCAGCTGTTCTCCTCCTCCTCAAAAGGGATAGTCCAGGCATCCGGATGGTGCTGATTTCCAGAGCTGTTGCTCACTCAGTAAAGACAGCAAGTGAGGAAGGGGAAGGAGGCAGGAGCCAAACCCCTGAGCTGCTCTGTGGCTGTCATTTCAGCAGCTAAAGAGAGGGCGTTCTGGCTCACTTCTCCCCTGGGCAGCAGTCATGGACCCATGGTCAGACTCAGTCACAGCTCCCTTTGGCCTTATCTGGGTCACAAATGGACAGGCTGCCCCTTTATTTAAAAAGACAGCAGTGTGGAAAGACCTCAGGTTCTATTTGGAGCTTTGCTTGATAATCCCACATAATCATCCCACCGTTGTTGATAGAGGGAAGTCAGCCTTCTAGTACCAGAGAGAAAAACTCAGTCAGGGAGCAGCCATTGTCAGCATTTCTGGGTTTCCACAGCCGAGGCCATTCTGCCTCCTCTCCTCACAGGCCCCACTCACACTCATGGCATAAGCGGAGGCAGCTCCCGCCTCACTCTGCTCCCAGGTGCACCAGTTCTTGCAGAAATTCCTCTGAGTTTCTGCAAGACTGGTGACCCCTTCCCTGCTCTCTAATACAAATGCTGATTTTCCCCGTTTTTACGTGTCTTTGGTCTGTTCAGGATGCATCTTGGAGGGAGGAGAGTGGAGGGCGTGGGCACAGATGACCCTTTTTGATATTTTTGGCTAGAGGGTGTGCACTTGCCAGAGAGAGGGAGAGAAGAAGCACCCACCAATGGTGATGGTCACACTGCAGTCCCTTCTTGTCCCTCTCCCTCTTGGGATTTTGGGCATGCACACACAAGCTCAAGTCTTGGTAGCATGAAGCTGAGGCTTGTGCGGTCATGTGCTGAAATCCTGGGGCAGTGCTGCTCCCACTTCAGATTGCATCCGAACCACCCAGAGTCTCATCGCAATAGATGTTGGCCCATCCCACTTATCTACCTCTTGACAGCTCTGGGATGGGGCTTGAGAATTTGCATTTCTACCAAGTGCTCAGCTGTTGCCGAGGCTGCTGGTGCCAGGACCAGATTTCGGAACCACTGCACCTGTTACTTGCCTCTGCAGTGAGGGCCATGTGTTCCTATTCAGAAGAGTGTCCCCTTGCCATCTCCAGCATGCTGGCATCACGCCTGTGACTGCCCGTTCCCGAGGCTCACCCAGAACCCCTCCTAGGTGTCTGCTTCAAGGTGGGGTCATATAAGCAAGTCAACCTCCAAAGGTCAAAGACGCAGAAAATCCAGCTTGTTGGTTAAGAACAAGGGAACTTACAGACAGAAGCAGAGTCAGGTGGGCGCAAGACGATAGCTCTCTGCTCCCTCCTTGCACCCCCAAGGCGTATGCTCATAGCTTGTATGGAGGGCGTCGTGAAGGGAAATGGCACACAGGGGCATTTGAAGCACATACAGAGCTGTTCTAGGTGTCAACACCGTATCTTAGCTATGATCAGACCCACCACTCCTCTGCATAAGAATAACAGCACGTTTAGAGCTGAAGCCATGTTCTAGCTTGGGGAGTGTGTCCAGGGAGCTCATGGACACACACAGGTCAGGTCAGTTGACATTGGTTTAGTGTCGAGATGAAGCCACTTTGAATTCACCAGAGTATCAGGGAAATCAAGCCTCAAAGAACCACCTGGCCATTGCCACGTATTTAAAGTCAGATTTCTGTGCCCCTGTCATCAGAGGTTCTGTTGGATTTGGGGTGAGGCCTGGACATCTGTATTTTATTGGTTTTCCCAGGTGACTGATGTTTTTTAAAGGTGAACCCAGGGCTGCAGGCCTCTCATCTAGGCAAAACCTAATAGTCAAGTCAGAACTTTGCACCATGAATTGATGCAGACAAAGCAAGTGGGTCCTTCAGAGGCATCAGTTAGCCTTCTCGGTCAGGAAAGATTTGGAGCATGAGCTCTGGGTGTTACAATACCTGCTCCTAATGAGGAACCGGAACTTGCAGGTGGCCCAGGAGCGCTGAGACTCGCAGAGAGGAGAACTCCATCCCTTGTCATCTCCACTACTCAGGCACTATGCAGAGCTTCAACAGGAGGAACCTCAGAAACTATCTGGTCTGCAGCCAGCCACACTGACGGCGGTGGCTTGGTGTTCCATGATGCTAAGGTCACACTTGGAAGGCCCTGGGTTTGAGTCCTGAGGTCTCAGAGGTACCAGACGCAACTTCAGCCATGATCTTGGCTGGCTGAGGCTATGGGTGAGTCACGGCATAGGGACTGTATTCAGGGTGTCTCTGCAAATCAATAAAACTTTTTTTTTTAGAATTATTTATTTAATATTTATTCATTTTAATGTGACCAGAGGGAAACAGAAGGAAAGTGAGAAAGCAAGCCACCAAGTCCGGGACTTGAGCTGTGGTCAACCATGTGGGAGTGTCCAGAGCCTTAACCACCACACCACCTGCTGGTCCCCAATCAACCCTTTTAAAAAGAAAAAAAATCTGATCCAGCCCCCTTATCTTAAGGTTACAGAAGCACAGACCTAAGTAGTAAATGGGTCTGCTCACAGGGCCTAGGGCATGACCGGCCTGGAGCTGGCCCAGCTCTGCTCTTGCTCATGCTGCAGTGAGAGCTCTAGGAAAAGCTGCCTAATGCTGCCCTGCGACCTCTCAGGCCTGTCTGGGAAAAGGGTGAGTTCAGCAGCCTGAGGGCATTTTTAATGTTTCACTCCCCTTCCCCTGCCTACCCGGAACAAACGGCTGCCGGGACCAACATAGGCAAAGCCTGGGACCGTCCGCATGAACACAGGCTCTGCCAGGAGCACCAGGAGGAGGGCAGAGGTGGGGCACTGTCTCCTTTAGCTGGGTGGGAGCTAGGAAGGTAATAGGGATGCCTGGGACTTGGGGAGGAGTGCACCTCTCAGGCCAACTGGATCTTCCTGGCTCTGGTGGAGCCTTGGGACAGGACGGACAGCATCCTGGCTAGAATGGTGTGGCCTGTAGATACAGTGTGTGGGCCTCCTTGGGGCTGCTGCTCCCTGGGAGTCTACTCGGAAAATAAAGCAGCTGAGGAAATCCAGCAACTATGGGAAGAAAGCAAGCAAAGACAGGCATCCGTAACGTGAGAGCCACGGGCACGGCCAGGATCCCGTCTCTTTGGCTGCTGGCTGGCGGCACCTGAACGAGGCCCATGCATGTCGGATTGAGCAGATACGTGGCTCCTGGTGAAAGCAGCCAGAGGAGACGGTGTAACAACCCACAAAGGCCAGAGTAATGATAACGGGAAGACACAGTTACATGTTTGGGAACTACATTTTTTTTTAAGCTATTAGGTGCTTGCCACTCACCAAAGGCAGAGAGTGAGAGGGAAATGAGAAACCACCCCCGGGCATTGCCATGCTGTAGTCCCTTCTCTTTCATTCTCCTGTCAGGATTTTGGACACATACATGCGCCCAGCATTGAGTTTTAAGCTGCCGAGTCTGGGACTCAAACCACAAAGTGAGGGACCAGCAGTTAGCGTAATGGCTATGTTGCTGGACTCCCATGTAGTCGACCGCGGTTCAAGTGTCAGACCTGGTGGCTTAAACTCAACCCTTTCTGTCTGTCTGTCTCTGTCTGGCAAGTGCACACGCCCCATAGCAAAAACCTCTCAAAAAAAATAAATAAATAAAAGCCAAAACACAAAGTGAGCCATGTGGGATCCAGCCACCTTAGCCTCCTCTGCACCCACTGGCCTACTAAAAACACTTTGAATTTGAAAATTGGATGGAAAAATTTTAAAAGGGAATAATGAGAACTGCATTTGTGGACTAGAAGACCAAGTAGAAGAAATATACCAAAATTAGAAACAAAGGTAGAAAAAATGGGACCAGCCGTTGGCGTAATAGCTATGTCACTGGACTCCCATGTAGTCAAATGGCCCAAGATCCCAAGAGAATAGAGGAGAAGGGACTGCAGTGTGGCCATCCTCCCAGGGGATGATTTCTCGCTTTCTGTCTCTTTCTGGTGAGCACATGCACCCTATAGCAAAAACCTCTCAAAAAAAAAAAAAGAAAAGAAAAGAAAAAAGAAATGAGGGAGTAGCTAGGAGGCTTAGAGGACAACTCAATGACTATTAGGCACAAAAGACACAAGAGGAGGAAAGGAAATCCTTGTAGAAATAGTTGAGGAAATGTTCCACAGCAGAGTCTGTAGATTAAAAGGGTCCACCAAGTTCCAGACAGAAGTTACAAGGAAAGGCATGTCCTGTAAAAATGATTGAGCTTCAAGGGTCAACATTTTACAAGCATCTAGAGGAATGAATCCCTTGGAAAGTAAAAGGAATCAAACTAGAAGCAGGCTGCCATCTATAGCACTGGAAGCTCAAGGACAAGGAACGCCACTCATAGGCCCTAAGAAGGCCTATCAGAACCAAGAATCCCGAGCCCAGGTATCTGTCTGGTCCCCTCTCAGATGTCGCAGCCTGATTGGGCGTGTTCTCCTTAGTGTTTGGTGCACCTCAAGGCTGTGACTCCTGTCCACACTGTGGGACGTCCTGAGAGTGCTTTTCTAAGGACTCACCTGGTCAAGTCTGGGCATGCAGAGGTAGTCAGCGTATGAAGGGACCTTCAGAAAGTTTGTGGAGAATGCAAATCATGAAAAAAAAAAAAAAAACTATCCAAGCTTTGTTTTTCACCAAAAACGGAAAGCCTCATATTGTAATTCCACTTTTCCACAAACTCTCTGAAGTCCCCCTGTCTCTGGCCAATAGAAATGGAATTTGTCAGTAGCTCCAGTGGTGACTGTATCCAGAATCTCAGGAGACTGACGTTGGAAGCTCTTCAGGGATGACCTAATCCAGTCACCCCCATTTCACAGGTGAAGAAATTGAAACTCACTAGTCCCTGTGTCTTGACTCCAATGTGATACTTTTATGTTAGAGATATTCAACTTTTTAACCCAATTACATATCTGTATGCAGATATAAAGCTATGCATATAATATTCTTTCATTTTTCAGTCAAGAAATATTTAGTGAACACAGGAGTGAACCAGACATAATCTTTCATCGTTCAGTCAAGAAGTATTTAGTGAACACAGGAGTGAACCAGACATACATTGTCCCAGTTGTTGTCGAACTTTGTTTCTAAACTAAATTTCCTTTTTAAAAAAAAATATTTTACATTCAATTACTGTATATCATTACAGCATAAATTTCCTTTTATCATTATTAGTGTGTTTGCTTGCCTGAGTGACACAGAGGGAGTGAGAAAGCACCCACCCATTGGCATGATTGCTCTGCAATCCCTTCTCCATTTCTCTAAACTTTTGGGATTTTGGGCACACATGTACATGGACCTGGCATGTTTTTCAAGCCTCCAGGATCAGGACTTGAACTGCAGTCAGCCATGTGGGATCCGTCTCCTTTAACCACTAGGTTATGGAGTCAGACCTAAACTAGCCTTTCAGAAAGACTCCCCTATACTAAGAGACGTCGGCCACTCTCTCCTTTCTCTGGGAAGAGACATGTTCCATTGCTACCGGGATTCATCAGATGGTGCCCGAACGAGTGGCAGATAGCATTATCGCCCGCAATCCTTCCCCCTCTTGAAGGCATACACTTTGCCTCGTGACTCAGCAGTCCATCCAAGGTGGAGAGTATCTCCCACCC